CCCCAAAACCCCAAAACCCCAAAACCCCAAAACCCCATTACACTAAAATAATATTAAAAAATAAAATAAAAAAATCAAGGAAATTCTGAAATTAAAATTTATTAATTACATATTTTTACTCGTATTTATCATAATCATTGATACACTATCAGAGTAGTGTCTAATTTGTTCCCATCAGCTCATCAATATGATTCTACTCCTCCATATGTCTAAGCTCTTGCTGAATCATACCAGAAATTGTGCTTTCATCGTGCCTCATTAGAAGCATCCTAGAATTATCTATTCCTGGAGACTAACTTCCCTTTGCATTGTATTGATTTATTGAAAATTTATCTATATTCAATTCAGATTCTTTTGTGATTCCTACTCTTGGAGCTAAGAAATGCGACCTTGTTGTCTTAAGATTTTCAGAATTTCTTTTTTTATCGTTTGGAAACAAATGAATTTCTTTTGCATTCAATTCCTTACTGCTGTCTTTGGTAAGAGATTTATTGAGCTCCTTAAATTTCAAATTTGGAGTGTAATTTTGGTTTTCTACATCAGGGCTAATTGATATTCTCATATCTTCGTCATCGTCATCGATTCTTTGTGATGAAGAACTAAAAGATTTATTAGCATTACTTCCTGATAAGCCTCCATGATCATTCAAAATATGATTGTTATTCTAAAATTCATCATGAAAATCTTTAGCTTTCCGAATGAAGATTCCTTTTATTAATACTTTTTCATTCTAATCCATTTAATTTGCCTTGTAATGAGAAAGGGCCTTCTTAAGTTTGACAACAGCAGCTAATTTTTTGAAATTATTTTTGCTATTAAGATCTCTCATGAGATCATGATTATGAAAGTCAGATTCTGAAGAAGATGAGGATGATTAGAGTAAATTTTTCTTGGAAAATTTCAATAGCAACCTACTTCTGATAGGCAAGATAGTTGATAACAAAGCTTTGAGTTGTCTAATTGACTTCAGCAAATTAACTACATCAAGTTCTCTTTCAAGTTTCTCATTTCCTCTTTCATATTTCAAGTGCTACTTAAACGCCTTATTTTTCTTAATGGAATCCTTACTCCTTAAACATACACATTTCAAGATGTAGTGAATGGCCATTTGATATCCATAACGAAAAGCTTTTCTTCTTAAAATTTCATTGATAATCTTTGTAATTATATTGTCCTGTAAGAAGTTTTTGTTTGCTAAAATCTCAATAACATTAAGGTCAGAAACTCTTTACTTATTAAGAGTAATGGTGTGCATTGATGCCAATTTCTATTGAAACAATTCCCTCTTTTTTAAATGATCTTATTTAGTTTTTGCATGCACATATTTCCTGCTGTTCCCAGAACCGAGATCTAACTAAGTTGAATTAGATTTTTTCTTTGATTGTTTTTCTCCTTTTTCCTGGTAAAGTTATTTTATGAAAGAAGCTTTAAAAAGTCTTTCTTAGAAAAAGATTATAAGGATAAGAATTATTGAGAAAATAGACTCTTTGAAACCACCTATAGATTCCAGCACATCAAATAGATTTTCAACCTATCTTACATATTTCATAGTTCTTTTATCTAGTACAACTTAAATAGATGCAAAAACCTTCTGGCCTAAATTAATAGGCATTAGATAATCTGTTTTAGTTGTTTCCCCTACTTGGTAGTAATAGTATTTAACATAATCCCAGAAAGTAAAAAAATTGTCGTATTACTAGGTAGAAGTATTTTAGATTTTCATTTGTATATTTTTATGTCTATCTGCATCAATATTAATCTCATAAACATCATCTAGAAAGTATTGAATTTCTTAGTCATAGCTCATGAAATCGAAATTTGTGTTAATATACACATACTATAATGTTTTATTTTGGAAATAGCCTTTTATCTAAGATTCAGATTTGCAGATAGAAATGTTTGTGGTATTTTAACATGATTATAGCTGGATGTTTAAATGCTGATATCGGTTACTCCTTTTATCTCCTTCAATAATTATCTCACTTTCACTCTTTATACAATAAAATTCTCCAATTCTATACCTATTCCATTCGTAATTGCTAACATATGCAAAATGTTTTCTGCTGCATTTTTCGATTTCAAAATCATAAATATTCTCATAATATGGATTGTAACTGTTTGGCTAATCTGTTAATTATACTATGCTTTATGCATGAATCGATCCATAAGTTTAATCAGGAATTCCATTATCTACGCCATCAAGTCTAAATCCAATATCAAATCCTTTATCTCACAATGAGAATATATCCAGTTCATCAAACGTTGAAACTTTTTGCTTTATATGTGTATTTGGATGTAGTCTTAAGGCTAGCATATAGAATTAGTAGATAATGAAGATTGAGATGGCAACTCTTTAGCCGAAAGTAAATGTTGCGCCAAGTAATGTTTTATATCTTCTTGATCCTTTATAAGTGAACTCTACTTTCCTTCCGTATACATCCTAATTTTTCCAGTTCTTTACTGCTCGTTGAAGCCAAAAATCTCTATTCGTTTTAGATAGTGCTTTCAAAATCCCTTCTGACTTGGTTGATTGAAATAAATTAAATAATCTTTTGCTATTTCTTCTATTTTCCATTGTTAGTTTATAATTAATCAAATTGCATCTCTGGAATTTAAATTTAAAGCCTTTGTCTTAATATTTTATACTTGTCCTATTTTAACCTATCGTATTTTCATGAATATTATAATTTTCATTTGTTCTAAAAATATTCAAAATTACGGGGTTTTGGGGTTTTGGGG